TTATAGTATTACTTATGATTGAATACAATTATAATATTCAAACAATAAGAAATATTCCATTAATATTTCAATAAAGAATATCATTTTTTGCCTGTTACTAAATAAAAAAAATTGATGTAATACATCAAGTACAAACTTAAACGTATGAAAAATGTATTAAAAAATAATTCGCAATGAAATTTTTAAATTATTAAAAATCTTACAATTACTTTTAATTCGTTTATAGATAAGACAATCCCTATTTAATTTCATAATATACTTCAACTTTCTAATTATTATTTCGTGTATCCCGATACAATACACACTCTCCAATTTTCAATTTTCAATCTTTCAACGAACAATACACGAAAAACAACAATATATACTACCGTAAGATCATACCATTACATACAATTTTCACGTAATCCAAAGTCAAATCCCCCTATAATTTCTCCTCCTAACGGAAAGAGAAAGAAAAGAAAAAGAAACATCGTCAAACAAAAAAAAAAAAAAAACGAAAACAAAAACTCGAAGGGAGAAGTGGGAAAGTGGTGGTTCAAAGTGGGCAAAAGGTATCAGGCGTTACGATACGCACACGCCTGGTTATGTATTAGAAAAAGAGGGCGAAAGAGGAGGATGAGACGAGCGAAAGGAGAAGAGCAGAGCGGTGGGCTCTTACCGAGGTTACGTGTCGATCCGGGGCGAGCGGTGGCAGGGCGTCGCGTTTTCGCGGTTTTTTCCCTCGTGACAAGGGCTGCGAGGAGATCGGCCGCCGAAATAACAGCATAACGTCGGGGCAAGGGTAGACTACCGGCAGACAGCGACTATGGGGGCGGTGACCGCCCGCCAACGCGAATCAATACCCGCAGGAACAGGAACCACCGACCTACCGAGAGAGACAGTTCACGAAGGGAGACAGAGACACGGGTGGAAAGAGAGAGAGAGAGAGAGAGAGAGAGGGAGGAGGGAAGCGGGCGATGAAGAAGAGAGACAGAGAGAGAGAGAAGAAGGAGGAGGAGGAGAAGGAGGAAACCTCCTCCGTCCCGGCGGAGAGAAAGCAGGAAGGGAGGGAGGGGAAGGAAAAGCGAGCAGTATCAAGAGAGGAGCAAGAGGTGGCGGAGGCGGAGAATGACGGACGGAGAGGAACAAGGCCTGGCATCGCATCGATGCGTCCCAGGGTGCAAACGTGCCGATACCTTCTACGATTCCTTCCCTGCGTTGTCGCTGTTTCTCAGCCTGTTTTGTTCAAAAAATCGCGTGGAGGCGAGGAAGGCGAGAAATTTGAAAGATTGGAAGATTTCTTTTTTTTAGAGGATCCTTTTTTCCCCTGGAGGATGGAAAATTTTAAACGGAATTATTCATTTGAGATTTAAGTTAAGCGTGGATACTGGAGAAGGAGTGGTGATGTATGAAGGTGGTAAAAAGGGTTTATAGGTTGCGAGATTTTTTAAATAGAAAACGGGAAGAAACATGAGATTTATCGGGATTTTTTTTTTTATATCCTTTGCGTATGGTTAAGGGAGAAATTTGAGAGTTGGAAAATTTTTTTTTAACTACAGATGCTACGTACGAAGAAGAAAGATAAAATTTATCGTGGATTTGAGATTTTTTTCTTTTCATTTTAAAAAATTTTGAACAAAACTTCGCCTGTTCTATTATATACACGCGCGTAGAAACGAAGAGGGAAGATCTCAAGATTCTTTTTTGCATAGATGCTACGAATACGAACAAATTAGACGAGATTTATCGCGAATCTTTAAGATAAAGAATCTTTTCAATCTCTTAACAAGCTTGTAACGAAGATTCATAACGAAGAAGATCCTAAGAGAAAACCGACCATCTGTGAATTTAAACCCTTTACAACGCTCCCTTATATAAAGAAGCTTTTATCAAAAAAACTTGAAAACCACCAAGTAGCAAAAATCTCTAAGTTACCGTGATCTTATAAATTCGCAAACCGACTAAACCACCCATCCCTCCCCCCTCCCCCCAAAGACGTTGTACATTCAAGAAACATCCAATGGGTGAACGTCCATTTTCAAGAACATCTTTCACGATCGTGGACAGTAATGGAGCGGTAAATTTTCGCGGTTTGCTCCTACGTGGAACGCATCTGGAAGAGAGATAGAGAAAGAGAGAGATAGAGAGAGAAGATTGAATTCAGGGTTGAACGTGTCGGCCTTGGACGGTAGCCGATAACCGGACGAGTCGTGGATGAGCTGCAACATCGTCACGAGGAGGCCGCGGATTGGACACGCGTACGTTTCGCACACACGGATTATCCTCACACGTGTTCGCACGTGTCGCGGGCAGAAAACGGAAAGAGAGAGAGAGAGAGAGAGAGAGAGAGAGAGAGAGAGAGAGAGAGAGAGAGAGAATTGGATGCGCGATCGAGCAGACTGGTTTGCCCAGTAACCTCTCGGGCCGGGCAAAAGAGGACCTGAAGAGAGGATGCACGAGAGCTCGAAACGAGCGCGGCGAACCGCATTCCTCGCGACGTTTCAACCTACTCCTTTGCTCGGCTTTCCTCATCCTCTCCTCGGCCTCGTTGAAAGCGACAGTCCGGGATGACGCTTGTCGAGGAAGCTCGTCGAGAGACGAGGGACTGGTTTATACCGGTGCGAGTTTCTTTTTAATCAGGTAAGAATTTTTCAAGTTCTAATGAGTTGGAATGGAATTCCAGGTTTCTTCTTCTTTCGTTTCTTATGGAATGATAAAGTAAAGTGATAAAAAAAAAAAAAAAAGAAAAGGATTCCTATCCTTTTCGAAAAGAGATATAATTTCGAGACCGATTTACGTGGAAATCACTAACGTGTATGTTTATATCTGATATCGCATAATTCTCATTTATAATAATTATTAACAATGACGAATTAAATCTTCTTTCTTTTTTTAAGTCAGAGAAATCAATTTTTTCATTTTCTTGAAAAGAAAAATATTAAAAAACCTTTATTTTTTTACTTCTTCAATAAATTTAACCCTTTGCTCTCCAACGGTTACTCTCTTGAGTTAATGCCGTAACTCCAGCGCCACTCTCCGGCACCACTGAGATTGTTGAATGGCGACAATATTTATTTATGTTTGATTTTTTTAGAATATCGCTTCATAAATAGATTCCTACGTATCTCGCTCTTTACATATAATCTTATGAGGTGTAATCTTATCTTATGAGTAATTATCTTATGGTAATCTTATGAGACCATTGAACGCACGAGTTTGAGTCTGGAGTTGCTGGTTCGATCGAGCGAAATAGGCAAAGAGTTAAATTTTTTTCTTTAACAAATTATTGTATATCTATAATCGTATTGCAAAAGAATCATCTATATTTCATATATTTTGACCGAAATTGGACAAAAATTGTTCTTATTATTCGCGCTTCCAATTCCGATCGATCTTGATATTTATTCGATCGAAGATTAAAGTTAAAGTTTTAAAATAGAATTTTAAAATATATATAATTCGTCCCAAAAATTTTTCACACGAAATACAGGATAGTAAACAAGCATATTCCGTTGGAGGGTGAAGACAAATGGAAGTAATGAACCGCGATGGTCTAGGTCAAGGTCCTTGGCCTCCGTTTAGCATTGGCATACACGAAATACTCCAAGGAGCCACACACCGATAGGGAACTGTTTATTCCCTCAAGCGTGCTACGCGTTACGCGCGCGATACACTGTGCCAGATTACGAGAGAGGAGTGGCTAAGTGGGAAGGGGATGCCGTCCTCGGGGACCAAGACGGCTGTAATCTCATCGGAGGATTTTCGACTCCATTTCAAATCTCGGAGAATCGGCGATTCCCAGACTCTCCAACACGCGAATTAGAAATCTCTTTTCGATAAGATTTGGAAGATTTTTTATTTTTTATTATTACGTAATGTAGTAAAAATTGAAAAAGTCTTTCCATTTATTTTAACGCGTCTAATGTTTTTGAATTTTTATCAAAACGAATCATCAAATCGAAAATTTTTTCCAATTTTCTCATAATTATTTTGTGATCGTTCACAAGAAGAGTAATTTTGTGCAAAGTAGAATTTAATTTTTCTACGTGTTAATTTTGATATTTTGAGTATATGTATATCAATTTTTTTTTTATATTTTGTGCCGAAAATGTCTTGTGAATCTTGTGAATCTTCAAAACTTAAAATTTTCTCTCCAAATTTTCGTGAAAATATAGTTTTAGAATCTAAAGTTTAAAATGTTAAATATAATACGATTGCATTGTAAAATAAAACATTATTATGATTACATTTTTACATTGCAAAATAGTAGAAAACATCTTTTTATTACATTTACATAATAAATTTTTTATATATATATTTTCAAACTTTAGACCAAAATTATATTTTTAAGTCTAAAAAATTACGGAGAAAATAATAAATAAATTTTAATAAATTTACGTAGAAGAATATGTGAAACATTCTACACCCCTTTTATATGCCCCATTGTAAATCATTAAAAAAAAAAAAAAATAAATAAAATTTCTTTCGTAATATACATTGAGCATATTTTATACTCGTTGCATAATATCAAAAGGATTAAAAAAAATTCTAACGAATACAATCATTCACGAGTCACTGCAATTTAATTTCAATACTTTTAATTAATTCCGGCATGACCGGTTATCGATGACCTCCATGCCAACGCGTAAATACCTCACGTACGGTTAAATTAACATTTCTTTCCATCGTTTGCTCATGCACAACTTGTTTCATCACTTGTACCATCATGATTTATTCACGAAAAACACCGTACTTTTTTCTTTTTTTTTTTTTTCCATTCTTTTTTTCTTTTTTTTTTTTTTTTTCTTTTCCTCCTCCTCCTCCTTCTCCGAGTTTTATGTCCTTTTTCACAAATAAGTTTCTCCGCCGTAAAGTTTACATTTTAACGCGATAATACCACGTCATAAATACGGTGGAAAGATTCGAGGAACGCGGGTTTGACGCGCGGGATACGAAAGAGACATCATTGTCGGGGGAATGTCGTAAATGTCGTAAAAGGAGGAAGTTCGGTCTGTACTCACTATAGAAACGACAGGAGGCGGAGGATTTCCGTTCCTAAGTGCCCCGGTTTGCTGGTTCGCCGCCGGATTCAAATTGTCCTTGGATTGCTGCATGGGATCCGGCTGATGAAGCGTTTGTTGCGATTGCTGTTGCGGTTGTTGCTGATGCTGTTGGAGCCCGCCTATTCCAGTCTGTGGGCTGCCTAAGCCTGCTGGCGCGCTATCCGGCGTACTTACTTGTCGGGCGATCTTTCGATAACTCTGAAATGCAAAGGAAGAAAAGAAATGATCCTCGGTCGACGTGTGAGAGAGAAAGAGAGAGAGAGAGAGAGAGAGAGAGAGAGAGAGAGAGAGAGAGAGAGAGAGAGAGCAATGGTTCCTTCGAGGATGAAGAAAAGAATTTTTCTAGAAATCGTTTTCTCTTATGGAGGAGACGTTCAATGTTGATTTTTGAAAGTCGTACGAGGGCCAATTTTATTTTTCTTTTCTTTTTTTAAATTACACATTTTTAAACATTCGATAATCTCTATCAATAATTACAGAAGTATATTTCGATTTGAATATTGTAAAATTTGTAAATCGTACAAGGAAACGATAAATTTTTATAGAATTTTTATAGAATAATTTTTTTATAGAGAGTATTGAAAAAATGATTTTCACTTTATATCCATTCACGAAAAAATAACACCATAATGTATAATACTTTCTTCGATACCACCTTCGACTTTCACCTGAAATATTTTTTGAATAACAATACTGAGATTAATATTAAAATCGAGTAACACATTTTGCATACAGAATAGAATTGGATAGAAAATGATTCTAAAATTGTGCAAATTGAAAGAAAAGAATAAAATTTAAATGTATTTGAAAATTTGTGCCAAGTGTTTGAACAAATGGATACGAGCGAATTATAAAAAGTTAATTTAATATATTGTTCTACAAGCACGTGGAATAAAATATGAAAAGGGGAAAATTTTCTCGAAAACTATTTTTTCGAATGAAAAGATCTCAATCCGTTCATTTCTCATTCATTTTCACACCCTCTTAACCGATAATTAATTGACCACTTCCGCTTAAAAATGTGTTTCCAAATTAATTTACACCAAAAACCTTAATCTTAAACGAAAAAAAAAAAAAAATTCTTCCTCCTCTTTTTTGCATACAGAATTTTCTTCTACACGCGTATAATGAAATATACACAAAGTGAAAGCTATGAATCACAACTCCGCTCGAAGACGATGTAAACCGGCTTTCCGCAACGATTACCATTCTTCCTAATTAGTCAGCCAAACAATAAAATAAAAGAAATATCGATCGTTACTAAACCAAGAACATTCCACGAACACCATTGTACATTCCAAAGCGCGATTAGCGTGCGTGTACTCGGTTACGTCATGTTCAACCACGAGACGGCGCTAATAATCTTCATTGTAATATTGAGAACCTTCTCCCTCCCCTCCCCAAAAAAAATAAAAAAAATCGCAAAAAAGAGAGGGTAAGATCGACGCGACAGAAACGCGGAATGGCGTCTCATGCCCAATTATCCAATAACTTTCATCCTCGAATAGTCGAGTGGTAGTCGAGGTTGAACGACACCGTCCCCTGCTCGCCCCTCTCGTCAAAGCGTGTTTTTCTCTCTTGCCTGTGCACCTCTGCCCCACGTTGGATCACCCACGCACGAGCGACGCGTCGCACCGCACATCACGATAAACAGGCACCGCTTTTGAAACGTGGAGGAAGGAAGGAAGGCAGGATGGTGGTAGGTACGGTGGCCGAGCGTACGCCGGTGTGACCCTAATGCTAAAAATATCAAGGTGGCCTAAGTAGGCCGAGCCGGCTGAAACGGTTTCCATAGTTCAACAAGCGCCGTTGCCCGACAGCTATAACCGGCCACCCCTCTCGCCCCCACCAACCCCCTTCTTCGCGATGCAAACTTGATCAATTATTACGACGCCCCTCGAGCTATCACCATCCCTCGTGGTTACCGTTCTAAGGCCGCGGATGGTTGGAGCCTTCATCGATGGAGCCGCGTTGATTTTAAAGGAATAATTTGCACCTTTTCGAAATTTCATCTCCTCGCTTTGATCTAAGCAATTTTTGTTAGTCGTGGGATTTAAAAATAACAGTTGAAATATTATTCTTCAAGATGGAGGGAGCCTTCATCAATGGAATCGCGATGATTTTAGAGAAATGTTTGCACCTTTTCGAAATTTTATCTCGTTGCTTTGTTCTAAGCGATTTTTGTTAGTCGTGGGATTTAAAAATAATAATTGAATGGAGCTTTCATCGATGGAATCGCGATGATTTTAAATGGAATAGTTTGCACCTTTTCGAAATTTTATCTCGTTGTTTTAAGTAATTTTTGTTAATTGTGGGATTTAAAAATAACAGTTGAAATATTATTCTTCAAGATGGAGGGAGCCTTCATTAATGAAATCGCGATGATTTTAGAGAAATGTTTGTATCTTTTCGAAATTTTATCTCGTTGCTTTGTTTTAAGCGATTTTTGTTAATCATGGGATTTAAAAATAATAATTGAATGGAGCTTTCATCGATGGAATCGCGATGATTTTAAATGGAATAGTTTGCACCTTTTCGAAATTTTATCTCGTTGTTTTAAGTAATTTTTGTTAATTGTGGGATTTAAAAATAACAGTTGAAATATTATTCTTCAAGATGGAGGGAGCCTTCATTGATGGAATCGTGAATGATTTTAGAGAAATGTTTGCATCTTTTCGAAATTTTATTTCGTTGCTTTGTTTTAAGCGATTTTTGTTAATCATGGGATTTAAAAATAATAATTGAATGGAGCTTTCATCGATGGAATCGCGATGATTTTAGAGAAATGTTTGCATCTTTTCGAAATTTTATCTCGTTGCTTTGTTTTAAGCGATTTTTGTTAATCATGGGATTTAAAAATAATAATTGAATGGAAGTTTCATCGATATAATCACGATGATTTTAAATGGAATAGTTTGCACCTTTTCGAAATTTTATCTCGTTGCTTTGTTCTAAGCAATTTTTGTTAATTGTGGGATTTAAAAAATGGAATCGTGATGATTTTAAAAGAATGTTTGCACCTGTTGGAAATTTAATCTTGTTACTTTGTATTAATTTTTTAATTAATTGCTATGTTACTATTGAATATTGTTGTAGGATTTAAAAATAACAGTTGAATGGAGCCTTCATCGATAGAATGATGATTTTAAACGAATAATTCTATTCTAACTTGCTTTGTTCTAACTAATTTTTGTTAGTCGTGAGATTTTAAAAAATAACAGTTGAAAGGGATATTATTCTTCAAGAGACGCGATCATCGATCGAATCGTTCTTTTGATAATGGAAATTTGATCTTGTTACTTTCTTCGGCTAATTTTGTGATTGATCGTGTATTTCTATATTCGAATAATTGTTATGAAATGTGTAAAAGTTGAAAGGAATTCCTTATAGATGTTCAATGAATGCGGAATGATGGAGGGAATACATCGAAGTACATGGGATATCGTCTTTCGACGATAGAAATTTATCTTTAGACTAATTTTTTATAATTAATCGTGTGTTTCCATCGACTATATTAAAATGGAATTTATAAAAGTTGGAAGGAATTTCTTGTAGGTGTTCCAAGGGATATGAATGGATGGAGTTTATCGATGAATAATGGTGATATTAAACGAACGTGGGATGTTTGCGGTCTTTCGATGATAGAAATTTATCTTGCTACTTTAAATAATTTTTTTTAATTAATCGTGTAATTTCTATTGAATATTATTCCGGAATTCGTAAAAGTTGAAAGGAATATTAATCTTCTGTCAGAGAAATGTGAGGATGTTTGATAATGGAAATTTAATTTTAGCAATCTTGTAATTATGTATTTTTATTTGCTATAAAATTTATAAAAATTAAATATCCCTCGTAGACATACATTTAAACGTTTTAACATATAGGATAGGTAAAACTCATCGATGAAATCACGATTAGATTTGATGGAATTTATACTGTTTTGATAATGCTAATTTAATTTATTATTTTTCTTTTATATTCGTGTATTTTTATTTTACGATGATAGAAATTTAAATCTTGCTTCCTTTAGATAATTTTGTATGTTGCAAAACAACTTTCAAAAATCGATTATCAGTTTATATTTTGGGTTTGTATATTGCATTTTATTTTATTACGTATATTGAACAGAATTGAAATTTAAAATCGCAATACCTTTTCACATTCCGCCAAATAGGCTGACAAATATTAAAATCAGAATTAAAATGATTAAGGCAAAATTAAATTTCAAATTTCATGTATATTTATAATAATAAAATTATTATTAAACACTTTATTATGAAACACTTTCGAAGGATCGATTCTATGATCCAAGAAAAAAAAAAAAAAAAAAGAAAAGAAAAATTGATGTAAAAAAAGTGTCGATTTATTAAACCATAAGCAATGTAATATTACGTTAAATGAAGCGGGACGACGTTAGGAGACAACTCTATCTCACGATTATATAAACACCCAGCAATATTAACTTTACAATAATAGTAAAGTAAGATTTATATTTACATTATCGATTACAGATACATGCAAACATGCATAGCAAAACTAGTAAAGACCAGAAGATCGCGCGTACATAAATAACCCTGAACGATCAATTGATTTCACGGCAACTAACTGAAGCCAAACTAACAGTTTCAAGGTCTATTTACAAGAGTGTCATCAATACGCGAACCGATCATCCGAACAACACGAAATAACTAACTTGCTTTTCATTATCAGCAAATTTAATAAACACCTCCTTCACTATTATCCATTCATAATTTCAACGACGATCAAATAAAGAATAATTCTATTAATTAACACTCCAATTACAATCGTACGTAAACACAAACGAAACAACTTGGGTTTAATTAATTAACAACTTGTAGACAATTTCCTTGCTCTTCATCAACGACGACAACAACCAAAAAGAGGATAATTCCCCACCATTTCCAAGAAGTATCAAGAATCGAAAAGTTGAACACGGGAAGAGTTTTCGTAATCCGATCGACGATGGTACAGAATATTACTGATTGTATCGGGCGGTGAATTTATTGGATACGCCGCGAGGAGGAAATTTATGCGACGGAATTCAATTTACATTTATGACGGGGTTGGCCGAGCCGCTGTTGCGGCAACCTGCGGCCACAGCGAATAAACAAGCAGCTCTTTATAATCTTGACCGTCGTTGCTCGTCAACCTGACGATCCTGTAAAAAAAAAAAAAAA